TACTTAATAGATGCCACTTTTGGCAATCTGATGTGTTTGCTCGCAAGAGTATACGTATCACCCAGAAAAATTTTCATAATTCATATCGATTATTAATTGTAAATTATACAGAATTGTTAAAGTTTAATAATACATAGGACTATCAAAAAGTAGTGGAGGAGGTACTTGAATTCTTTATAACACCTCAGTTATATCATGATAATAATAAACTTTCGGTAACATCTGTTTTTCTGTCATATGTGACCGTTATAGTAATACTGTTTTTTTTTATAAAAGTTAGATAGTAAATTCTTTGATAGCTTCTAATAGAACCAAGATAGAGAGCTGTGATTTTCATCATTCGACAGAGAAGACAAGGGTATATCGAATTTCATATATCACACGTTTTCCTAGTATATTTTCTGAAGTTTGTTTAATCAATTTTCTAGATATGAGAAATAATTGTTTTTAAGGAAAAAGAAACCAAAAAACAAGCTTTTCTTCACAGAAATGATTAGAAAACTCATTTAAACCTTCAGCTAAAATATCTGTGATTCCTAAATGATTAACACTCAACATGTAAAAGTTTTGAAAAGTTGTAGATCTTAAATTGGCTAGTTGAATATGCACACGAAATATATTGTTATCTTGATATAGCTTGAAGAGTGATGTAACAAACATAGAAAAATAGAGCGTCGTTTTTAATATCAGTCCATGTTGAGACAAAAGTTTCTTTAAGCTTTTTATAAGGAACTAAGGAACTTAATCCCATTCGCCACTACTTTTGGAAAGCCCTAAGTAAATTGAATGGTCTTTCACTTTATTTAACATACTCCTCATGATCAGAAGATAGCGGTGTCACCAGAAATTTAAGGCAAGTGGTTCAGTTCCTCATCATACTAACGTCACCTTAGTATTACCAAATTCTAAAGCTCATATCGCATTGAAGCGAAAAGGTTATATGTACACACTCTCTATCGTAGACGAACAACCACCTAGTTCATGCATAAGAATAAAATGTCATGAAATCAAAAAAGATCACTCTTTATTTTGTGCAGAAGCCGAGTTATTTGACGTACGCAACACGACCTGTGTTGGTTCTCTAAGAGGCATTGCACAGAAGTCGCTATCAACGTTGCTCAAGCGATCTCAATAATTTGGCTCATATTGTCACAGTAGAGAGATCCTGCAAGGCTAGGAAGAAAATGAAAATTTCAGCTCAAATGGATGAACTCTTCTCGAGATATAGATCTTGGAACTATTGACAATCAAGGAAAATTGGAATCTTTTGTAGCGCAGTTTTTTTCAGTAAATTTTCATTTCATACTGAACAATAAAACTTGTCCCCGAATTTGTTTGATCATAGATACTTTCGAACATGGGCTATCTTGTCATGGTAATAAAAATTCTTCATCATCAGATATGTTTCGCTTGGCATCATATACTTTTTTCAGAAAGCATATTCACGTGTTTCGAGCAAGTTGTTCGAATCAGCGCAGTAGAATATCTCGAGAGTAGTCTCATTCAAAAAACCAAATCAGATTGCATCAGTTGACGTTTTCAAAAAGTTGTACGATTGAACTTTTCTACAGAATTCTTTTTTAACAATATTTGATTTTTTTATCGAAAATTCTCGTTTGTAAAAACTAATTTTATTTTTAGGTAGTGGTATGGTTATCCCAAATGAGGCACTAATCATTATTCTGTCACAACCTGTATTTTTACTGGAGTTATTTTCTTTGGTAGGTTTACTATGCACACGATTAGTTTTTATTGTGCTTTGTTTTCTCATGAATTTATTTTAAGTCTGTCTTATTCGACATTCAACGACATTAGTTGGATAATCATTTTATTTTGTGATGCATCACTGCATATGATGAAGAGATGCATATCGCCCATAAAACGTAGAGCTCACTGCGGAAATTTTATAACTTCTAGAAAAAAAGAATGACCACTTTGTTAGTAATCCTTTATATGCTGGTTTTCTATATACGGATGTATCAAAAGGTCCAACTTTACAGAATAGTAGCACGTCTTGAAATAGAAGTTCATTTTTTTTCTTTTTCAGCTGATCTGCATTGTATGTCAGGATTAAAGCTGTTGAACATCTTTCTTACATTATCAGTGGTTGCATTTTTAACAACAATAACAAATATGTCATCAACATATCGCTTGTACCACAACACTCCTGAATTCATTAATTTTTTCATTGGCTTATTTTCGAGATATATCATGAAAATATCTGCTAACAGAGAAGCTAAAGATGAGCCCATGTTAGCTCCATTATATCGTCGATAATATTGGATATCAAACCAGAAATGTGTATCTGACGTAGCTGTGATTAGCAGCTCTTTTGTATTGCAACGACTAAGACATTTTGAACACCAATCTGTCTTTTTCTTTATGAATTTACGACGGTAATGTTCTAGTCCATACATCTTATCAAGATTTATATCTACAATATATCACACTCGAACTTTCATGTATAGGCTAATGACATCAAAAGAAATCATTTTATATTCTGCCACATTTGCTTCTAACCTTCTAATGGGCTACAAACTGAAATGTATTAGTTTATGATACGAGTTTACCAACGTTTGAAAGAACATGGTATATCCCCTTAACTGTACCAATAGCACAATAAAACCAAGTTTGAAATCGTTCGGCTAGAATCGCTGCAAATAAGAAACTTCAGATCTCGTATGTCAGATCTAAAAGTACTAATGAAGAACACTTAGATGCTACTTTCAAAACAACATTAGCTATACAACGTCACATTCCACTAACTAAACATCCGATAGATTAATATAATTGTTCGCCATTAGACAGACATATACATTTTAGTAGACTATTAGTAAAAGCATCTACACTGAAAAAAGACATGGTACGCTGCGAAACTTATGAAGTTCTGTGGAACTTTTCCATACCTTTAAAAGTATCGTACAAATGCACGAAACTATTTTAAGGTTTCGAAGTCTCTCAGGTTTCGTGTAAAACCATTAGGAGTATTTTTACCCGAAAAAGGTTTCATATTATACATTCTAAAGGTATCGTAATCAAGAGATTTCGCACCAGACTACTTTTGGCTCGTCTCAACTATTATAGAAACATATGTTCATCGATCAGCAATTCAACTGATCGGACTCCTTTCTTCTGTTTATCTATTTACATTCATTCTACAATTAATTATGCAGGTTAAATGACTGGTTTTGGGCTTTTTTCTTGCACATAAGAATTTTCTTGTTGCGCTAATAGGGCGTGTCTCAGTTATGTAACAATCACATTCCTTTCTTTCCTAAATCGTTGAGCGGTTTAAAATTTTACCGAAACAATCATAGCATTCGAAATGGACTAAATTTTTCATGCACCTAAATTTATTTAGACCTCAAGTAGCTTAGATATCCATCCATATTAATTAGAAAGTGGAAGACAGAGATCACGTATTTCGTTGATGGTGATGAATAATAGCTCTCTTACGTAATAATGTGCTTCTCTCTTAATAGTTAGCTTAGGATTAAATAAATTCAAAGGCCATGCAACTTTTGGGGTTCTGCAATTTCCTCAATAAAACTGTCACCAATAGGACTTTTACCATTTGCGAAAGTCCACTGTACTTTCGCCAACAGGTGAAAAATCCAGGCGATATGTTGGCGAAAGTCCGAAAGGTGTATTCGAAAATGTCCACATGACTTTCCTCAAATATCACTAAGCAAAACTAATACATTATACATGCGAGAGTTAGAAACTAATGTTGATAAAAGATATATATATTATAGCTGCCACTCATAAAGTAGGCGACGAACACTTTTCACTCGCAGTTTATTTACACTCATGTTGGCGAAAGTACAGTGGACTTACGTCAAGCGACAAAATTTCAGGGAGTGCATTGGCGAGTGTCCAGATGATTTTCGCCATTGGCGAATGCCCACTTCGTGAAATTCGAGTAATGCATTCAAATGGTAATTGATGTTTCGAATTGGAAAACATTATGTGTTTCTTTCTTTATGTTTTAGGTTGACTTCGACCTTATTCAAATGGTAACATATATTTCATCGGATGAAGCCTAACAAGATCTCTGGTTTGCTGCTGTAATGAGATTAGGCTAGGTGTCGAAATGCATTCTTTTTTGGAGAGCGACCTTCTCTCATTGCGTTGCTGCTATCGTGAACTCGCAAACCTTGTATTTGATTGAGAGATCAGCACCCGAGAAAATTCTGTATGCAATTATATTGGTTTTCGAGATCTTGGAAATCTTGTCCGGTTTTTTCAGAAAAGGGATTTTTTTACAAATTAGATGAGCATAGTGATTTATAAATAGAGCCAACGGTGTTCCTTTTGAATGCCATCAAAATTTTGACTACGAAACGTTTCTTCATGTGATCTAAAAATAATTTTGTACAAAACCATATTTTTACGAAACTTTAAAAAGGTTTCGATTTCGTTGCAAAATTCGAAACCTTTTTTAAGTTTCGTATGGTACCTTTTTTTCAGTGCACCAACACACCCACACCCATAGATTCATCTCAATCCTTGTTTTTCAAAAGTTCTTGCCGGAATTGTCTCTCTGTCTTTCTCGTTCTTTTTGTATTTATTATCTGTTATTTTTTGCCTTTTTATCTTGCAATTTCTTTCGTGCCTTGTAAATATTTGTTTGTGTGGTTTTTACCGTCACGATACACTGACGTTTTTGTGTTGTTAAAAAAGACTTTGCTGACATTGATTTTTTTGATGATCAACATGTAAGATATACGAAAATATGTCATGGTGATAGAAAAGATAGCTTTACCCATTGACTTTAAAAAGGCCTTCATTGAAAAAAACTTTGCTTAAAATATGAAAGAGTTGTCAATCGTGTATTCGTATATCTAGAAGATTTCATTTTCATGAATAGAAAACGGGTCACAATATATAAGGAAGAAAGAAAAAGAGAAAAAGAATAAAATTAAACAGATAAACGTATAAAAGAATTATAATCATTAGCTTTTTCTTTTAATTTTTTTAGTATAGGTGAAATATAATATTCAAATGTTTTCTTTTCCCATTATAGCACATTCCATTGGTGATGTAGCCATTACTGATCCTTTATGTGATTCATCAAATAGCAGTGCTAAACTACCAAAATATTCTAATAGACCTAATTTTGATGATCTAACAATCGGTTGATCTTGACATTGTGTTTCATAAATAACTGGTGTACTACCTGGGTCGATCAAAACAGAATGTGGTGTCAGTTCTTTTTCGTCAGCAAACGATGAAAAAACGACTATTTTACGGACGTTTATTCTTCATATTTTCTCTAAATATTTGACACAGTGATACGACATCAACTTTTAGGCGTATACAGTTGTATATGTGCCGTTACCTCACTATGATACGTCCGTATAACTGCATCCACTATTCTGATCGTATGCAGTCCGTTCATACATCATATTTTAATCGTAAATGTCCGTATACGGACTGTATTGTTCGACGCTGAGTAAACAAAAATAGAAAAAAAATTAAAAGAAAAATAAAACAACAATTTCTTTGTCTTTTTTGTAATTACTTTCAATACTTATATAAAAAAAGAGATCCTGGATTACTTTTTTCTATGATGATATCACCAACATTGGAATTCATAATTGAGATATTGAGAATCATTTGAATTTTTTTAATACTATCAAGATGTTGAAAGATCTGTATTGAATCTATTAACGTTGTACATTTGTCAACAGTCTAAATGATAAAAAAATCGCTAAAGAATCAAAAGAAAAAGTTTTCTATTTTCAGCTTTTATCGATAAATAACTTTCCTCATATTTTTCATCATTATCATCATTTAAATCATCACTAGCATTTAAATCTTCATCAGGATTTAAATCTTCTAAATTAAAGATAATTATTCAATGGTAATAAAAATATATTCTTACTATTCATTCTTTTATTTACTACCGATATAATTCGTTATAAATATGTCTAAAAGAGAAAAAATAATTTTCTCTCTCATATTCGGATCATCACGATGAGGGTGTGAGTGTTGGCGTGGGAATGTGGCAGTAGGTCTGTAATGTGGATGATTCTTTCTCTCCTCACATCCATGCCCACCCACCTCCTAAAATCACCAACAAGCGAAAGACAATTGTCTTAGAATGAATAGATTAAGAACATCCAAGCCGTCTTATGAATCAATAAAAGCTATTCCAAACTTTTTCCTGCTAGCTTACTATGACAAGCATGTTGATGAATCAACCTAATGAAATAAGTCATTCACATAAGTATCAACTATTTCTTTTAATGGACCTTTTTTTCCAAAAGTTGATCAAACGCAAACATCAGATATACCGTCATTTTTTTATGTGTTGAGAGCTTTAATGATCGTGGGTCAGATAATGGACGACTAGTATCAATACGTGTCAAAAATGATGAGGTTTGATAGTGTTGATAATGTTAATGTAGATTGTTCTTGTATGGGGATTGTATCAGCTTGTATATTGCTAGTTGAATTAATTATATACGACAGATTTAGTGTTTCAGTAAATGCAATTGTGAAGCGCGGTTTTTGATCATTTAGCTGTTGCTTTTTTGATCAGGACAGTGGAAAAAAAAGATACAATGGTTCTTAGTGTTTATGTACTAGGTATCATAAACTTTATGAATACATTTACAAAATATTTCAATATATCCTTTGTTTTCCTCAGGAGATATGAGTAATCACGAATAACTTACAATACTGATTAGTACTGTGAATATCTCTAATAGTTTGAAGAATACAAAATGACTCTCGATTACTTTCAGCCGAAAATTACATAGAAACCATCAATCATTGAACATTTCTGAGCTTCCTTGACCCTACCCTAGTTACGTCACTAAGAGAGAGGGATCTTAATAAGTTCAAATTTTTTTTTTGTCATATGAAGAATTTTAATCCAGGCTAAAGCACAAAAACCATATGAGAAATGTACCGCCGCGAAACGTTTCGCAAAAAACATATGACACATCATGACTCCATAACCAAATTATCATATAAAATAGAACAAGATGAGCATCCTTATAATTTCACAAAGGAAAGATGCATGTGAGAATGAAATAGTTTAAAGTTATTTGGATAATTAATTTCCTTTAAAATAATTCTCTAATACTAAATTCACACTTATTTATTTAACACATTCGACCCGATGGAGTCCACCGGTGGACCCCACTTTGCATTTCATATTTTAATCTCTAAATACGTTTTATTAAAAAAGCAACATATACCATAAGATTCAGCGTGAAAAGCTCTACAATCTCCATAGTAAAGCTTATTTTAATTGTGTAATTTTTGTTTTCAAAGAAAGTAAAACTCTGTATAACTAGTTTTCGAAGTTTCGAAACGATCATTTTTTTTTTGCACGAATGTGAAATTTCATTTTTCTTGTTTCATCTTTTTATCACCTAATATTATTTCGTAAGAAAAAACAAAATATAGCACAAGACGCAGTGTGAAACGCTCTACAATCTACATCGTAAAGTTTATTTTTTGTCTTCGAAAAAAGAAAAATTCTGTGCAATCAATTTTCACAACCTCAAACATTGGTCACACACAATTTTAGTTTATTTTGAAAACAAAAAGTACACAATTGAAATAAGTTTTATGATGTAGATTCTAGAGCTTTTCATGCTGCATCTTGTGGTAGCTATATTTTGTTTTCTAATAAAACGTATTTAAAGATGTTAGTTTCTATGAAATTTGAATCGGGGTGAATGTGTTAATCATCATTTTGTCAAAGTGAAAATATTCCATTCAAATATGCATTAGAAGAATTATAATATAATAAATTTCAAATATCTTGACAAAAATTTAAAAAAAGATATATGGAAAATCATTTGTGTGAGTTGTATCATTAATAAAACAGATACCAATAGAGAGCGCTACCCTCCTTACACGTCGACATTCTATTGGTCGTGAGTTATCTAATCAATCAATAAGGTCGAGTTAGAACAAGATACATCATTTATTTTTGTAGCATTTGATAAATACCGAAAACAGTGATATTTTAATGGATATAGCACTGGTAGAAAATGATTATATTCTACCGACTGTAATTTATAAACATGATTGGGTTCATATACTTTATATAGGAATATGCATTATCTTCTTTATGATTCAAGTTTGTCAACGTATAACTGTAGATCTCATTTACTCATCAAGTATGTAATCATGTTAAGAATCTATTTTACTCAACATATATTTTCTATGCAGAAGATTTCAAAACTGAAACTTATGTTCCATCTCTCAATCGATATCCAACTGAGTTAACTCCGACACCTTCAAGTATTTCATATATTTGGTATCTTGTTTTTTTTTGGCAGGTAAGAAAAAAGTCAATAAAAAGTTTTAAATAATTTTTACAAATGTCAACATTAATCTAGGCTGCATGGATAATATATTCAATCATTGGTATTTTCCGTCGTACGTCATCAGGTACATATTTCTATCAACATCCATGTGCTATGAATAAATGGTGTTATTTCTATACTGTATTTGGTCTTATTTTGTTTACGCCACAATTGGCAGCTGCTGCACGAAATAAATATGGAATTGGAGTAAGAAAAATAAAGCAATTCAATCTTCTTTTTCTTTTAATGAATTCCTTATTTTTATATTAGATTTCAATATTTCGTCATTTGGGAACATTATGTGAATTAATTATAATTCTAGTTGTTGTTCATGTATCATTATGGGAAAATTTAAAAAGTTATTTGCGAAATAGATTGTACGTACAATTTGTTTTTTGTTTTGCTTGTAACAATTTCAGAAAAAAAACAATTATTTGTATTGTTTAAGTTTTGTCGATGTTTGGTTAACACGATTATTATATCATAATGGTTTAGCTTTATGGGCATCTGTTCTTTTCTACGAGAGTTGTTTGTCAATCATCATAGGTCTTATTTATGGTGATATAGTTTCACCATCAATAGCTTCTATTATCGGATGTTTTCTTCTTTTATTTGGTTTTATTACACTTGCTATTCTTGAAAACGGTGTTTTCTATAATTCACTTGCATTTACTTTATCACCATGGCTTACTTTTTTATGGCTTTTGGGAGATGTTGTTTTTCGCTCACATAAAGAATTCTCTTCATCTTCTTTAGCCATTTGGTTTGTTCGTTTTATTTTTTGTGTAACATGTATATTAACATGTATTCGTTTGTGCTTATTTTTTTGGAGATACAAAAACAAAATGATACCAACGTTTCAGTCACCAAGGATTTACAGTTTTATTGTAGAACCAAGAGCTTTTTAAATAGTTAAGTACTTATCCCTATTTACTTGTTAATACTGTACAGTATTTAATGTTTTATTTTTTGTTAATAAATATAAAATATTGAACGCTTAGTAAAAATAAAATTTATTCTTTATAGATAAAAATTAATGAATGTTTCATTTCAACTATCTTTTTATATTCAATAAAATTGTTCATAATCAAATCAAGTCGATTTAGTCACAATCATAATGATCAATTGAATCACCTATTTATACTATGTTTAAAAATGAACTAATAATTATTTTTCCAGTGATGAGAGTAAAGTGTCATGTAAAAATAGTCATGTTATATTTTGAAAGGTATCGAAAATGTTTCAAGAAAGTCAATGGCATCATTTGTGCTTTGTTTGAATGTCAATTAGAAGAAGGAGCATAACTGATAAGTCAATTTTGTTTTATAGCTTGTGTTAAGGTTATTTTTGTTTAAACTGAATGAAACCTAGTTCACCTCATCAATATGTAATCGAGCGCTCTATTCTATGTTTATCTCTGAATGAAAGATCACATGAAGTTTTCACGCAATGGAAATAAACATAGAATAGACTTATCAATGAATACTTCAAATTGAAAGTCAATAGATTGTCTTCGATTACTAATCTAAGATTGATTTCGTTTTTTTCAAACCTTAGTGGGGTTTTGTTTCAACTAATGCAAGTGATTTGACTGAATTATCTTGTATTTATAGTAAGTACGATTAGTCGAACAAATGACTTTTATGAACATACTGGTTATGAAATCAATGAATGAAAATGGACGCTGATGTCTCCATTTTGAAATGCAAGAGTTCATCATTCTGATCTTAATTTAATTGAAGTAGTGAATCATATTTCCGATGAATATTCTAAATGAACTTGTGCATACTATTTTTCTATCATATTATTAGTAAAAAAACAGCTGTTAAACGATAAAATTATCTGAAGTAATTTCATAGCGATAAATCTATTTTGAAATTGAGTCTGTAAAACTGTTGACCATTTGCTTGATCAAAAATAAAGATAGACTAATCGATGCACAGAAATACGTCGTATTAGATATTTCTTATCTTTTATGGTTTTTTCCCGAGAATTATATGGCATATGACGATTTTTATGATTGATTGAATATATTCATAAATATTCAGGTAGAAATCAATATAATTTTATTGTTGATTATCTTCTAACTTTTTTTACTGATTTAAAGACAAACAAAAGTCCCATAAAGTGATTGCTTTTGAATGTATAAATGTCAATTGGAATGTATTTTCTCAGCAACAGATATCAAATTTTTCAGAAGTTTCATTCTTTAGCTCTCAATAGATAAAAATATGTAGGAAAAAACTTGTATTATCTTTTTTTTTACGATTTAAAATTGAACAATTAGGATCTTTATGTCTACTATAAGTCTTATATCGTTCTTGTTGATATCATGCTAAGATAAAAGATATTTCAATGTGTTTTTTTTCTTTTAATATCTTCGTTTCAAAGACTTTAAATGTTTTTAGACTAATGACTTCCTCTAGATACATAACATTACTTAGTATAGTTAATTGTGTCGTGTTTTTAATCAGAACCTTTGCGTAAGATATAAAAAATAAGCTAACCAATTGAATCACTTGAAATAGTAAGTTATTCTTTTTTTTATGTATGTTTTCATGACATGCTTTTTTACAATGACATTTCTTTATTTGAGAATAAAAATGAATATAATACGGTTAGTAAAGCTTTTTAAACTTTAATTAGCTTTTATTGTATTTGTAATAAAAAAATCATGCTTCTTTTCTGTAATATTTGATAACATAAGAAGCGTAGACTATGTTGAATTGACATCACAGTTGAGTAAAACTGCACTAGAAGTGTGAAATGATAAAACAGAAAGGTCTAATTTTTGAACCTATTAACCTTCTTAAAAGTACTGTATTTTAGTGTAGTGTGTAATTTGTGGCAGTTTCCTCCAATGAAGAACGTACCTCATTCAATACGATCAACTAACATTACAAATGAGTTGATTGACAGAATACTTCATTGTTGGGTTATCAGTTTACTTGTATTTTTATAATTGACTAAACTATATTCTCAAAGGGGTTTCGAGTCGGCGATGAACAAAATTAAATGACCTAAACTAGTAAACAGTGAGCAGATACAAAAAAGTGACTTAGTCGTGAAATATTCTGTCAACCAGCTCATTTGTAGTGTTGCTCAATTGTATAGAAAGACGTATATCCTTCATTGAAGTACACTGCCATCAATCATACGCTACACTACGGTAAAGTACTTCAGTCATTCTTGTAACGAACATCCACTTGAAGCCAATGAGGTTCTTTATAAAATGAACGAGGAGAGGAAGTGATGGAAGACTTTTGTTCAGAGGTGTATATCTTGTCGAGTTTCAAGCTGAATTCGATATATAATATGCAACTCTGCAATATAGTGATTTTGTATTATTTTGCAAAAGATAAGAAAACTAAAACAAAAAAAAATTTTTTTGCGATTGCCATTATCATGACACAAGTGTAAAGAACATCTCGTACTTGAAGATTTCATCGATGATATTAAACGTTGGCATTCTTGTCTGGATACTCAGTCGGTGTTCTCAATTGCATTTAATTTGTTTCTCGTCACTATTCCAGCTATTTTTGTATGGAAATTCCACGATGATTCAGGACTGAAACAAATCCGTAGTCCATTTACAATTAGTTTAGAACTTCTATTCGCAACTAGATGTCAACTTGCATATAATGCTGCTTACAACTCATGAACATATCGTCTAAAAGTTCTTGTCTCTTCAATATGGTTGAGTGTCAATATAAGTGTTTTTATTTTTTATTACTATGTTTATTTATTTGGAGCAAGGTTCGCTCTGCATGTGATTGATATAATATCGTTCACAGCTATTCCGATTGACTTAGCATGGGGATTTTTGCTGAGTTTGTTTAAATATTTCTCTCAGCCAAGATCAAAGACAACTAATATGAAAATGATTTTATATTGAAAAAAATTCTTATTATTTTACTAAGAAAAATACACTTCATTTTTCCACTGATGGTTCTTTTTTTCTGACAAAGAAAGGAAAATCTGGGATTTTTATCATTAAATAACTTTTAGTGACGTTTAATTTCATTTCTCAAACGACTATTATATATGATTACTTGACGAAGTTTTAGAATCTGTTCTTGTTTTTATAAATATTGCTGAAAAAAGTGCCATACTTTGTTTTATCAATCATGTCTTCTTATAGAGAAAACAGTTGTGCATTTTTTTCATCCATAAAAAAATAGAAACTTCACGATTGGGCTTCAACTTAGAAAAACTTCAGTTTTTAGAATCCTGCCAAAACCATCACGAAGAACATTTCTCAACCATGTTTAATTTCCTACAAAAGATAAGGTATTCGAAATTGGATCATGGAGACTGAGAAGAACAATCTCTAGTTTTGGATATAAATTTCTTTGCTTCAACGATCACTTTCATGATGATGATGATTTTGAAAAGCATTAATAGCAATGCATCACAATTGAAACATACAAATAATATAAATTATTTGATTGCAGTGCATAAAAAATATCACTTTTCAAAGTATTTATAACACTCACAGCTAAAATATGCTTCACGTTGCTCTGATGTATTATAATTGCTCATTTGAATCTGTCTAGCATCAATTTGTTAAATATTCCTTCGATCACAAGCGTTCTTATTGATAATAATAACAACAATTGATTTGTTATAATAATTTCAGAAAAACTTCAAATTATGTATGTTTATAGCTTCTCGTAGTTCTCTAACCTTAAGTATTAATCTGTCGGGACGATATCAATTGATCAATTATCACTAAGTTCTTTTTTATGTGGAGACCTTTTCTGCTGCGATATCTTCTATTTATCATATTTATCTGGCATTCAAAGTCGATGAAAATTAGAAATATGGGTTTGATTCAAGATCAAAACTATACCTATTGTCCAGATTTTCAATAATAAACTTGCTAGCATTTTTGTAGAGATGAATTCTTACATTTCAAAAGTCAACTTTTACAACTAGCCATTGACAATATTAAATCCATTGCTTTCGTTTGAAGTAACTGAACACATATAGCCTTGGTAAAGCTTCTAATTATGACAAAATTGATTTTTATTAATGTTGGATCAATGGATGGTGATATTTCACGCTTGATGACTATATCATCTTATATTTGCACCATATTCAACCGACATCCAATCTCACATAAATTACATTTGGTGAATTCAATCATCGAGGGGTAGTATATGCTAGATTTGGAATTAGAATTTATGATATCAACTCGTGCTTATCGTTAATAGTTTAGACTATGAATTCGACGTATTAATTATCATATGGTACAGTACTCACTAATTCAAATAAACTTTATTCACTAGATAAACATGTCAACATGTTGACTTCATATATGGTTCAGGAAGTTCACTATACATATTAAATTAGCATTTTGATTCTGATGATAAAACCTTAATAATTGGTTTGGTATTTAAATGTGCCTAGTAGTAGAAGAAATGAATATTTTTTATTTAAAGATAGAATAATTTTGGCTTGCCTCTTTCAGCTTTACATAATCAGAATGGTTGAAATATTTTGACATCTGTATTAGTGAAACGTGGTCGTTTTACAATTATTGTTTCAACTATTAATTTATATTAATTTTTATCAACAAGTCATGAGGTTTGAACATGATTTATAACCTGATTCTTAACATTTCGATTAGGAATGTTTTGCATAGATGTCACTAATAAAACATATCTTGCTTTAGTTTTATTCAAGTCGTTTTCTAATGAGTAGGCCAAATTCTTATCTTGCCTATTCTAAGACTTGTCTCGTGTATTCTTCATATTGTAAATAGTAAAATAAAAAATATCATGAAACTCATAATCACAAAAAAAACACTGTACTGATATAATAGAGTCTTTTTCATATTGTGTGTAGTGTTGAATCAATCTTCGTTATCATTTTTTAGAATTACTCTGCTTCAAAAATGGATAAGAATAACAATAGTAATGTTATATCTCGTTATAATGAAATCAAACGACTCATATTAAATGATTTTAAAAATGATCCAACTATATTAAGTATTGATGGATTACTAGATGCATTGCTTGTACTTAATGATGAATGTTCTAATGCAACCTTGAGAAGAGAAAAAACAGTTAAAGCATATCTTGAAAATGGTATCTATTTTGTTTGGTTGATGTTTAATATTGGTTTAAATTATTTATTTTAGTAAAAACATTTGTATCGCGTATAAAACAATGTCGATTGAATCGGAATGATTTCGAGAAAATTAAAACTATTGGGCGAGGAGCATTTGGGGAAGGTATTTTATATGAATTTAAATATTTCATCTTAAAATAATTTTTAGTTGTTGTTGTAAAAATGAAAAATACGGAGCAAATATTTGCCATGAAAATCATGAATAAATCAGAAATGTTGAAAAGAGCCGATGTAGCTTGTTTTCGTGAGGAACGTGATATTCTAGTATATGGTGATTCTCAATGGATAACAAAGCTTTATTATGCATTTCATGATAGTGAAAATTTAGTAAACTAAGACGAAAAATTTGTTTTAAATTCTTTTCAAATATCATTCTTTTAGTATCTTCTAATGGAGTATTATCATGGTGGTGATCTTCTAACTTTATTATCAAAATATGATGATGAGTTTTCAGAAGATATGACTCGATTTTATGTTGCTGAAATAATCTTAGCAATTGACTCTTTACATGAGCTTGGTTATATTCATCGAGATATAAAGTAATTTGATATTTATAGAATTTTCTTTTTATTTATTCGTGACTTATTTTAAAAGACCTGACAATATATTAATCGATAGTACAGGACATATTCGCTTGGCAGATTTTGGTAAAATGTCAACTCAAATTTCGTTCTATAAGACCTACGATTATTTTAGGTTCTTGTCTTCGAATGAGAGCTGATCGAACAGTTATTGAAATAGTTGACGTAGCTGTTTTTTATTAGGATACTTTTCTTCTCATTTAGGTGCAGAGCAATGTTTCTGTTGGTACACCTGACTATATTTCACCTGAAGTGTTATCTGCAATGAATGAAGGTCAAGATCGTTTTGGATGTGTATGTGATTGGTGGAGTTTGGGATGTGTTATGTGGGAAATGTTATTTGGTTCACCTCCATTCTATGCTGAGACATTAGTTGATACTTACGGAAAAATAACGGCTCGTGATCAAAATAAAGTTAGTCTTATTTTTGGTTATTTCAAATGAATAATCTGAATATGCTTTACTTATTCCTATAGATTCCACTTTCATTCCCCGATAATATCGAAATATCGAATGATGCGAAAGATTTATTAGAGAAGCTTCTTTGTTCAGCAAATAATCGTCTTGGAAAAGATGGACTTAATGATTTTAAAAAACATCCATTTTTTGCCACAACTGATTGGACTAACCTAAGACAAAGTAATAAATCGTAGAAAAATGATGAAAAACTTAATGTCTTACCGCTTTTACAGTAAAACCTCCATTCATTCCTGTTGTACTAAGTCCGATAGATACATCCAATTTTAATGATGTTGAGCCTCAAACATTTGACAAAGTATATATTATTCTCCTTAAATTCATTATTCTGTATGTTGACTTCTTTCTGGTGTTTATTTAGAAAACTACTAAGGTAACAGTACTATGTCTATGAAAAAAATACTCTACATATATTTATGATGTACTTTTGTACTTGAGTGTTGCTTGTTCTTTTTTGAATTTTATCACCAAGTAAATCAATTATTGTAGAATTTCGATACATCTACCTCCAAAATGGGGTTGATCAGTCAAGTACCGTTCATTGGTTTTAGTTATTCTGGTGACAAGTAAGCCAATAAAAACTGTTTTTTTTTGCCAGACTCAATAAGGAAATGATATACATCTTAATCATAAGTATATAGAGAATAATTTTGTGTTTCCGGGGATACCGAATAGGGCTAGTGACATTCAAGATGTTCCAGATTTCTCTCTAAGCCTTATTAGTCAATCTGTTGTAAAATAGAATGAATTCGGATCTTATTACGCTTCTGCCAAAAGATGAAATCTCACCATTCAGCACTATGGCTATCTTCTCTACTACTAAAGTGAAAATGTGTCATAGGCACTTAACACATAAATGACGTGGATTTGAGTAAATTCAAAAACAAAATTTCAAGAACTGTTGGCGTAATCGCTTCAAGCTCTAAATATATGCAAAATGATATAATTGTTGTCGTGTTTTGAAATTGATACATGATCCAGTTGTTTGAATCGATACCGCTGATACTTTATACTCTATTTAATTTAATAGGGAAAATTGCATCAGCCACATCACAATTTTTTCAATTTTGTTAAAAAACTTAAGGGTACCCCC